CCCCACCCATTTCAATGCCCTTTTATTCAGATAACACTGAAAGGGCGAACATATTTGGTGGGAAGAGGATGCGTCTTAATTACAGAAATCTTACCATTGATGGTTATACAGGATTTAGGATACAGAATAGAATACGTCTTCGTTTTACACACTTCCCAGAGTGGTTGGTTATTTATAATGTTCCTTCCCTTGTTTTTATTTCACCATTGAAACTTCCAGTCTTTGAAGTCTTGTTCGAAACTTGACATTGTGGATGAGAATGACTCTTCTCTGAAGACTTGTTCGAAACTTGACATTGTAGATGTGAATGAATCTTTTGATTTAGGCGTTCTTTTTTTTTTTCCAATACGTGGACATTCTACTCTGCAATCGAACCCGTGGTAAACTGAAATTACAATTAGCCACTAAACGAAAATCAAAAATTGATAGCTGATTCACTAAGACAGGTTGAAAAGCCTTTTATTTTATTATGGGTATTGTATTCAGGTATGCTGATGTCCAAAGGATAAGCATAAACAAAGTTTAAAGGTGTTCATCTAGGAAGTTTTCAGTTTTGTTTTACCTAAACGAGAAACTGATAATATTCAGTGAATTCGAAACTGTTAACACTCTTTGCTTTCGTTTTAACTATCTTGTGGCAAATTAATCTAAAAATTCTTTTTACTTCAGAACTAAATATTCATTCTTGGAACTGTTACACTGGACTGCTACTTTTTTATTTTTATGTATCTAAGCAAACTCGTTTAATTTTTAATGTTTCGGTTATAGAACTACATAAGACGCAATATAGGTACGATACAGTGTACAAATTCGTGCAGCTGAGAACAAGACACTATAGTGCACGTGTATTGTTAAATATTATTGACTGTAAGATTATAAAAATAATTTAAAGAAATTATATGCACAATATGATGCACATACACGAATATAATCTATATATACGTATTATTGAGCTAGTAATTTGAATGTTAAACGAACTTAAGTGTCTCGGGCTCATTTTATTTGTTTAAGCTTAAAGTAACACAATGACTGCCTGCACTTTGTTAATCGCAGGCATTGAACCCATAATTTTACCGTTGAGCCACCAGTGATGGGGGATTAGGTTGGAGCTCAATAAATAATGTATACTGTGTATGGCTCAAATAATAATTAATCAAAATCTATAGGATTCAACTACATTTTGCCACAGCACTTCAACTACAACAAACATCATACTTACAAACAAAAGTTTAAAATCTCAATATTATATATTTTTTTGTTTTTAGAAATGAGGATCGTAATGTTTAATGTAATCGAAGTTTGTTGATGTACGTTTTTATAGGCACTAACACTGTAAGTGATCTTTCACATGTAAATAGTTTTCATAAACATTAGCTTTGTAAGCAGGCCATCAGGTTTATACAGGGTCGGACAAAAGTAATTATACAATTGGTAATAATGAAAATATTACGAAGACATTTGAAGCCAAATTAAAACGTTAGAAATTAGACTATATTCTAATAGTCCATGGGCCAGAGCAAATATCGGCACCACCCAAAGTGACAAACTTTAGGGGTACCAAATTATTTGTAGGGTCAATACGGGCACATTGTTGTATGATAACTTTGTCAAATGGGTAGCTTTGTTGTTTAAATCTGGATGGTATTTTTTCTTCATTACAGGCAATGCCGATATTGGTTTCTCTGAACCTAATTTTAGATATACCACTTTTACAGAAAGAAAATGCTGTTGTATTGCCTGTACACCAGGATTTGTATAGATAACTATGTATTATCACTGTTTTGGCCCTCAAATCTAGGAAAACAACATTTTATGTACTTTTGTTAAAATAGATAAGCATGTTTGTTTCAGTTGACCAAGCCAGTTATCATGATTTATTTAATATGTTTAAGATGGTAGTTGAGTTTAAGATAATGGCCGTTTTTCTTTCTCATCTATGCAGTTACTATGAAGTAGCACATAGCTGCAGCAACAAACATAGCTAGGCTGTGAGAGAACAACGATCTCTGGTGTGGACCAAATAAATTTGCGATTTTCAGCAGCTTTCAAATACATAATTATATAAGCCCCCCAGTGGCACAGCGGTATGTCTGCGGACTTACAGCGCTAGAAACCGGGTTTCGATACCCGTGGTGGGCAGAGCACAGATAGCCCTTGTGTAGCTTTGTGCATAATTGAAAACAAAACAAAACATAATTATATTGACCAGGATCATTAACTGAAATATGGATTGTCCTTTGGTTTATACCAGATTGTAATAAGTATCATATCAATAAGTTATAATTAAGTAATTCAACTTTCACACCGCAGTCCTTGGACATGCCTCCCTGTTTTGATTTTGCAGGTCACAAGTAAAAGGTAATATAACTACCCAGAGTGACAATGGATGATTTAACCAGCATCTCCATACCACCATTAACCAGAGTGACAATGGATGATTTAACCAGCATCTCCATACCACCATTAAAGCGGATCCGAAAGGACTTTTTTTCATCCATTGTTCTAATGAGGATCTCGACTCGAGACTAGTATCATCACAAAACTATGAGTCAGGGAAAACTTTGCCGAGGGCTGCTGAAATCTGAAAGCATGGTCGCATCTTGATTCTGTCAAAAGACTTGGCAGAGAGAAAAATTCCAATTTCAGTGTCACCAAAAATGTCGTAGCATATTCACGATGAAAAAAGTTCTTGAATCTGTCACAAGAGGAAATACCGAAGATGAAACTGCCACTGCCACGAATCTTAAACCCGAAAGCCTCACAATATTTCATTGCATTAATGTGACATTCTTAGCTATAAAAAAAAAGTTATATTTTAATTTAAACGCAAAGATGCGCAATTTGAGCTTTATGACCCTTCAAGTTTATCATTGAGCCATCGCAATGGAAAGAATTAGTGCAAAAGAGTAAATACACCAATATGTTTCAGTCATGTAGTCGAATCACAAGTTACAACCCAATAGCTACAATAAGTAAAGATTTGCCCTTTTTATTTTATTGACGAGGTATTTACTTATTTTTAAATTTTTTCTTGCGTCCTTCTCTTTCTGGAACTTAAAATCTCTTTTCCTTTTTCGTTATAACCAGTGTCACAAAAGTTTTCAACTGCATGACATGGATTAGAATTGTTAACCAATTTAATTGTATTCCATTTTCTCTAGAGCAAGGTAATTTATATATAATGTGTTTTTCCAATAGTTTTTTAAAGTCTTTGACTGTGTGTGTGTGTGTTTTTATAGTAAGCTACATCGGGCTATCTGTTATGTCGAACTGCTGATTTTAGCGTTGTAAATCCAAAGACTTACCACTGTCCCCCTGGAGAACTAAAAGTATTTGACCACACACACACAACTGCATCCTACATTGATTCACACTATGTGTTATTTTGTTGGCCAACTCCTTCTACAATTTTGGAATTAGCAATACATGGAGTCTGCATGGCTAGAAGGATATCCTTATCTATATGGCGTTTCCCTTTATCAAATGGAGGCGGGGGGTTAAAACACGTCCGGAAAGTCACCCAAACATGATGTATATCTAGAAATAGGTTTTCAAAGTCGCTAAGCCCGAATCTGACATCAGAGCTTCTGTTTTTGGGCCTCCCCGGGATCCTTTGGTGCCATATTTGAAGCTGTATTCACATGTTTTCTCACAGACAGCCAGACCAAACTTGGCTCATGTGCTCAGTTAAGGTGGCTTTTCCGGGGACAGACTCCCATGGGGTACCCTTCCTTCAGGCTACACTAACTTGTGGTGTGTTAGCATGTTTATGAACTTGTTTTTGCATATGCAATATGTTAGCAATGTCATTTCGCAAATAAGACTGTTAAATTAAAATTATGATGTCAGAATTTTTTACAGAATGTTGAGAAGTACATTTACATTGTTAAATATATGCAACTACTTTATGCTTTTGCGGTTTCTGTTTGTTCGTTTGAAGTTAAGCACAAAGCTACACCATGGTTTATCTGTGCTCTGCCCACCATGGTATCGAAACCCGGTTTCTAGCGTTGTAAGTCCACAGACATATCGCTGTGCCACTGGAGGGCTGCGGTTTCTGTGGTGTATTCTTATACTTGAGATGATTTTGTGCTTCTGCTATGTTTTGAAAAAATATAGTTTTGGTGTTAACAGGCCTTTCAAAGTTATATATATATATATATATATTTATAAGTTTAGAATTTACCACCTTAAATTGGTTATTCTAATTGTCTAACCCTAAGTAGCATTCCGCTAGTATTTTTTCATCTGTATCCAAGTTATAAATTAACTTTAAAGAAACTTTTCTGCTTATATCTTATAGAGAAATTTTATATAATAAATGGTGTCATTAGACCTTATAATACAGAACCATAATCTTAAGTATTTTTAAAACAAAAATTGTTCTAGAATCTTTCTTACAAACATATCGATAGATGTCAGCACTAACGGAGGTTAAGATATAGTAATTTCATAAATGATTCAAGTTGTTTATGTTTTCAGTGTTACTTTAACTCGTAGTAAAATTGTTATAATTATTGCGATCAGATAGATGAAGTTTTTACTTTTTTTAGCTATGTTTGTGACTCAGATGGTTAAGATTTTTTCATGTAAATCATCTGGTAGATTTAAAACTCTATGTATGACTTGAAGGATTAATTTAGTTATCATGATATAGAAAAGGGTATTTTCTATATACGAATTGATTGATCAATAATTTATTTTCCATGTCTTTAATGTTGGTGCAAGTGTTTTGTATCTTATGTTCATAGTTATTATTTTTCAGAGCTTCTTAAGCTATATATGTGTAGCTTGCTATTTCTCTGGGACCGCTAAGAAACTAGCAACTTGATTAATTGTGGTGAAAGTCTTTCCAAGAGAGTCTAGATTACGCAACTACAAGGTGGATTTAGTGCAGTGCGAGTGACGCGTGGAAAGTAGATATAGTCCCAGACCCGGTAGTTCATACAGGGTAGGGTAATTTTGCTTCCGTTTTTTGGGGAAATCCGGTTATAAGAAAGCACGTTCGTTTAGTATAAATATACTTGAGAAAAAAGCTGTTAGGGTTTTATTAGATTCTTATTACCTGTTCAAAGTTCTACTTGAGGGTTTAAATAACCGATTCTTGATTTTTGAGGGTTTTGAAGCCCCTGTTTTGTCCTTAGAGAGTTCCTGCAACTGATATTTAGGTACTGTGTTAACCAGGTGGGCTGAAATGGGTTCTACTTTTAGTTTCTTTAGTACACCACAATTCGAGGTGCATGTGGTGACTGGAAATCGCCGTGGAGCAGGGACAGATGCAAATGTGTGGCTGACAATTTACGATGAGCATGATCAAAGGACTCCTGTGGTCAAGCTGAATCACCTTTGGAAGAATGACCACGAACGAGATTCTACAAGTAAATACCCTATTCCTCCAATAGAGGGCTTCGGTAAAGTTCATAAAATTGAGTTCTGGCGAGATTCCTTCGGTGTGGGCCACGCTTGGTTCGTAGATAGAATTGAAGTTCATCATGTAGCTTCAGGGAAGGTGTTCTACTTCCCCATACACCGCTGGGTGGACGCTAATGTCCACTATGTGGTTCACGAGTTCGATTGTACTCTTCCTAACGAAGATTATTGTAAAGAACAGCGCCTATCTGAGCTCAGTCGGATCAAGAAAGATTATCAGATCAAGGTGCACGTACCAGGTGGACCAGCACAGGTTAGAAAAATTTAAAGATGTTTTTATAATACTCGTCTAACTATTTAACGGCTTTTTTAACATTATATTTACAGGGTGCTTTAGATCACTCCCACATCTTCTTAAGGATTAACTCCATTAACTAAAAACTCCGTAAAAGAAAAATGTTCAATGACAATCCACTTTTGGAACACTTTAAAACCATGGTTTGAACAAGTTTCATTTGAGGTCAACTCAACCCGCAACGTGTTTGATCATATTTGATAGTAAGGAGACTATTATAAACCCACAGATATATCTATCTATATATATATATAATATGATAATGCATGGAGGTTTTGAAAATGGGTCATCAGTCTGTAAAGAAAATCGTTAATAAGATGCTTTAAAATTTCCAGGTGAGAATTTCAGAATATACAGATTATATTTTTTATTTGATATTGTTATAGTCGTAGTCTGCAAAACTCTTTATTGTAACCGTTAATATTGTGAATTAGCATTAGCTTCAGATCGTTTAGATTTATCTTTTTAAGCATAGCAAGTTTGGTTCTTGATAGGAAACATCTTAAAGTTGCCTTCATACAGAGGGTTGAATGCGTTACATCGTATCGAAACCCGGTTTCTAGCATTGTAAGTTCGCAGACATACCGCTGTGCAACTGATGGGCTTCGCTTTTGGTTAAACTAATA